GTGTGATAAGGAGGGGGGAGGGACTGAGGCAGTGGCCCTGGGGATGGGGGGGTGAGTCCAGGACTTGCTGCCTGATATCAGACAAGGAGACCAGCTGGGACACTTCTCAGGGATGCAGAGGCTTTTCCTTCCCCTTCATAAGGAGGCCCGGAGGGAGGGGGGATGAAGCCCGAGTGACAGCTGAACATCAAGTGTGCTGGAGCCGAGCGCAGCTGGTCCACGCGCCCTGTGGCCGAGTCCCAGGAGGCGGCCGCAGGGAAATACGTTTTACTAGGGCCCGGTGGCCGTTTCAGCTCCTGCATCGCCGGAGCGAATGGAACACGCTTGCTCCTCCGGCCACTCGCGTCCTCACAGCCAGTGTGCAAGCCGTGCACATCGACAGCGGTGGAGGGGGGAGAGGAGAGAGGTGAGGCGTAGAACTAACTAGTAAAGAAGGAACTAACTAGTTCTGGAGCAGAAACCAGAACCCAGTCTGCTTTGAGACCCGAGGCCGGGGCGCAGGTGCGTCTTACACGGCCAGGAGCTGACCGTGCCGGCTTCTGGGAGCATGGGGACGACACTGACACCGAGTGTCTGGAGTGTGGGGTCATCCTCATGCCAGCTGGGTGTCCTGGGATTCAGCTCCATCTGACACCCTCCACCTGGACACAGTGTCAGATCCACAGGTGAGGGGCTCAGTTCCACAACACTGTCCCCAGTTCAGACACCAATGGCAAGTCCAGGTTTCATCTGGGCTTCTGACCAACTGCCTATAAACCAGAGGTTCCCACAGCCTCCTTCCCGGGTTGGATTCATTTGCTAGAGCAGCTCACCAAAGTCAGGATACCAGCTTACTTACTGGATCACCAGTTTATTATAAAACCACATAACTCAAGAAAGGCATCTGGCAGAGATGCATAGGGCAGGGTGCGGAGGAAGGGTGCCACGCTCCCTGCATCTCCACGTGTCCCCAACCAGGATGCTCTCCAAACCCTGTCCTCTGGGGTTTTATGGAGCTCTCATTACATAGGCATGGTTTATTAAATTATGGCCCGGAGGTCGGGCGTGGGACTGTCAGTCCCAACCCACAAATCACCCAGTTGGTTCCCTTGGCCACCAGCCTGGCCCATCCTCAGGGGCTTTCCAAAAGTCATCTCGTTAACTAAACTCAGGTGTGCTTGAAGGGGGCTGTTATAAATATTGATACCTTCATCTCTCCTGTCGCTTAGGAAATTCCCTGGGTTTCAGGAGTTCTGGGCCAGAAATGGAAGAGCAGATATGTATTTCTCATAAATCACGATGTTACAGTGAAAGCCTAGTCAGGGGGGCCCAGGGCCCTTTGGCCTGAGCCTGACTCACCCTGGAGCCAGCTCCTGCCTCGTTCAGGGAAAGTTTATAAGCTGAGGAACCAAGCCTGGTGGCCACGTGGTAGCAGGGTGGGTAATGGGAGCTGGATGGCATTTATCCTTCGTAGATTTTTTGGAATGTTTTGCTAACTGTTTTTATTGTGTCAAAATATACATGACACAGGCTTACCATTTTAACCAGCTGAGAGTGTACAATTCCATAGCATTAAGTGTAATATTTTTATTTATTTATTTATTTATTTATTTATTTATTTATTTATAAAATATACCTTTATTGATTTCAGAGAGAGGAAAGGAGAGGGAGAGAGAGATAGAAACATCAATGATGAGAGAGTCATTGATCGAGCCCACAACCCAGGCATGTGCCCTGATTAGGAATTGAACCCCGATCGCCTGGATCCTAGGTCGAAGCTCAACCGCTGAGCCATGTCCGGCCGGGCAAGTGTAATATTTTTATATTTCGGCAAATTCATGTCACCTCAGAGGCACCTGCTTCTGATCACTTATTACCTACCCTTTTGGAATATTATGACTACAATTTATTTTTCAAAAAAAAACAGAAACAGCTCACACGTCACCTTCGTGGTTGTCACCTGCGTGACGATTTCTAGAGTCCATGCGAGCGTGCTGGAGATGTCTCCTTACCACAGTGAGGTTCTACTCTAGAGACACTCTTTTGCCTTGTGTTTTTAAAACTATTTTAAAATTCTAAAAGTAAACGTTATGTGTGTGAGAGAGACAATAAATAATGTAACAATTACAGCCTCAGCTCCCTAAACATAAAGATGTAATCTAAAGTCAATGAAGAGCACAGCTGGCCTCCGGGGGTGGAAAGTAAGTCAACGTCTGCTTCAGTAGACGGAAAGCGTTTTCTTTCTTGAGAGGGTTTCCAGTTGCTCATCGCTTATCAAGGCCTCTTTGTAAACCAATACAGCGTCACTTCTGCTGTTTGGATTCTGTCTGAACTGCTTCGGGGTGGCTTTTAAATAACGGAAAGGTAGCCCTCAGGGTTCCGGAGACTGGAAGTCAGAGGTCAGGGTGCCAGCGTGGTCAGGTTCTGGCGAGGGCCCCCTCTTTCTGACTTACGGACGGCCACCTTCTCACTGTGTCTGCTCATGGGGCAGGGAAAGATCCCCTCTCTCGCGTCTCTTCTCATAAAGTCACTGATCCCATTCATGAGGGCCCCACCCTCATGACCTAATCACCTTCCAAAGGCTGCACCTCCTAATTCCATGACCTCGAGGGTGAGGATTTTAACATATAAATTGGAGGGGCAGAAATATTCAGTCCGTACAGGTCCCAGGTCCTTCTTGCGCCTCTGTCTTCTCTGTTCGCTCCTTCAGCACGTTTGCTGATCACTGAGTTGGATGTTGGAGCTGCAGCCTTGAGCAGTGAAGACGGGATTGGATGGCCAGCCATGCCCGGGAGATGGCACCCAGCCAGCGCAGAGGTGCCAGGGGCTCGGATTAGGTTGAGGCAGCGGGCGCGGGGACGGGCAGGTGAGGCTGCGTAGCGGGCGGTGGGACACGGTGCCTGCGGGAGGAGAGGTCAAGGAGGCCTCCTGGTGTTCGGCAGGCTGTCCAGGTAGAATGGCCCCTGGATGCTAAGATGGGGGCCCTGCTGGAGGAGCAGCTTTGCAGACGGTAAAAGGACAAGGTCACTGACGTGCACCTCCCAAGTCACAGAGCAGCTGGAGAGCAGGACTCGGGGACCTGGCTTCTCGGGCACGGGTGCGCTCTCCCTGCAACAGCAGGGCTCACAAGCATGACACTGGCCGAGGGGCACAGTGCCCGTGCCGCCTTCTGACCCAAACCAGCTGAGAGGTGTGCCACTGACTCCCGGAGTCTGTCTTTTCCCACGAGATTGGATTTTTTTGAGAGGGTACATGAGTCTGGCTTCCAATTTCGTGCCCCAGTCTCTGGTCCAGGAAAGAACATCAAATGGGAAATTTTCACTTGTCTCTTTGGGGATTTGTGACATTCTGGTCACATGAGATCCACAGTTATTCCACTGTCAGGATTTCATTTTCTCTGTATTAATCTTATTTCTCATTTATCTTCAAAGACAGAGACAACCGAGCTTGTAAAAAAAAATTAAAGAAAGAAAAACTGAGCTTGTAAGAAAATTAAAGAGAGGAAAACCACTTCCATGAGGCCCTGGCTTTGAAATGCGGAGGCTTCGGGAAGTGGTGAGAAAGCTTCAGAAGGGGCCGCCAGAGGCAGGAGAGGGGAAATAAATGCAGCAATTAATGCTGGTGCCACGAATTTAATCAAAGACACGTTGTAAATGTTGTGGAGGTTGACGTTTTATGTGACATTTTATGCTTCCGAAGGATGTTTTTTAGAGACATATAATTAGCTGTTTCTCCTGCAATGCTAAAGAAGAGAGGAACATAGATGAAAACTGTAGGCAGACGTTTTTCCTTTGAACACAGGTTTGCCAACATTCCTGAAATTTTAATATGCCGCCTTCTCAGTGTTACTGTTTTCTAAATAATGTGTCCTTTTGGTGCCACATTTAGAACGATTGGTTTAGAACAACATTTTCCATTTCCAAGTAGATGCGGCTTTCCTGTGGTCATTCATTGACAGTTTTTTGTCGTATAGAGAGAAAGTGAGCCCTCCGTTCTCCTTTGGGGAACACCCTAAGGTCACTCGTGGCCAGCCTGTAGGGACAGCAGGACATTATAGCATACAGACCCTGCGTTACGAAAACCAGTGTTAATCCACAAAATACAAAGGGTCTTATGCCAGAAAAATGTCCCACAAGATTAGAAAAGGGTGAGAAATGTGATCCTAGAATAGAGACATGAAGGGAAGGGCCCGGCGCAGCCCCAGCCGCAGCTCAGTGCGGTGTGGTGGGCGAGCGGTCCCTGGGCCAGGCTGCCCGGTCTGGGCCCCTCTTCCAAGGGCACCTATTTCCTGGGCTGTTGCAAGGCTTGGAGAAGGAAATGTATGTCAGGGGCTTGGAGCAGTGCCTGAAGCTGGTGCACCATTGAAACAGCTAGTATCTCATTTAATTCGTGCAGCGGTACTTGGAAATAAGTATTATTAATTTTTTTAATATGTTTTTTATTGATTTCACAGAGAGGAAGGGAGAGGGAGAGAGAGATAGAAACATCAATGATAAGAGAGAATCATTGGTCGGCTGCCTTCTGCATGCCCCCCACTGGGGATCGAACCCGCAACCTGGGCATGTGCCCTGACCGGGAATCTAACCGTGACCTCCTGGTTCATAGGTCAATACTCAACCGCTGAGCCATGCCGGCCAGGCAGTATTATTACTTTCTAAGTCACAGATTAAAAGCTCAGTCTTGGGAGGCTTAGCAGTTACCCCAGTGACCACAGCAAGAAGACAACGGAGCCTGACCTTCCTGGCTCCAAAGCCTGTGACCTCCTTGCAGAAGGACCGAAGTCCTGACTTGTTCATGAGGAGCATGGGAAGGTGTCCAGAAAAAGCTTAGCGCCCAGGCGCAGTGGGTCAGTCAGGGAGTCATTTTCCGTCTCACGTTTTTCTCACGTGGACCGAGCCCCTGAGTGCAAGAAAGCTCTTATTTTCTGAGCTTTTGGTCCGGAACTCTCTGGACTTCACTCAAGTCCGAGAAGAGACTAATGCTTGACCTTCCTAAGAATCTAGGAAGAATCTAGGCTTGCATTTAGTGTGAGTTCTCCACTAAATGCAAGCAAGGTGCACGAGGGCAGGGATCCCTGTCTGCTTTGTTCACTACTGGACAGAACCTAGAACAGTGCCAGGCACACAACACGCACTCAATAATTGTCAAATGACTAAATACATCAGGAAGGAGTAAATAAACTGGGCCAAATAAGGGCTTGGACTCCCACCCACTGCGGACACTAGAGGGAGCCTGATCACAGGCTGGGCCTGGGTGCAGCACCCCCGAGCACCCCAGACTTTGTGCCCTGAGCCCTGGGCCCTGGGCAGTGGATCCCGGTGAAGCGGGAGTGCTGGGACAGACTGCTTTGGTTATAGACGGACAGGGTGATATGAACAAGGTCTGGGCCACGCTGCCTGGGCTGAATCCTGGCTGGGGCCCTGGGCAAGCTCTCCAACCTCCTATGGGACTCAGTTTGCTCATGTGCAAAAGGGGGGTAATGATAACAATGATGTTCTATAGGACCTTGAGCACTTTGTTAATCTCTCTGTGCCTCAGTGTTCTCATCTGTGGAGTGGGGAGATATAGATAGCATCTAACTCACAGGGTCATTGCATGGATCCCATGAGTTAACATGTGGAACAGGCTCAGTGGAGCTTGGTTCACAGAGATGGGGACTGTGGGCCCTTGGAGCCCACTTCTGATGGTGCACGGCTCTGTCTCTGCCTGGCCTTTGCTGAGCTGTCTGCCTTCCAGACCTCACTCCCAGGCAATACCAGCCTGGCTGCCAGGGCCCCAGGAGACACAGGGCAGGACCTCAGGACAAAGCCACCTCCAGAACCAGCCATCTGTCCCTCAGAGAGGAGCTCAGGAAGTTCTCTCCCCCGACTTGGGAGGCAGCTGAATGAGTCATCCTCCCCTGAGGCTGTCTCAAGACAACAGTAAAGTTCAGGTGAACTTCAAAGACTTTCCGTAAAATTCAGATGACATGACTTCAAGAGCTATTAAGTTTATTCTGGCGTCCCTTCAACCTTCCTCGCTGGCAGACCAGATACAGCTGAGCTGGCCCAGGGCCTGCTGTGCCCGAGCCCGGCGCAGGCATCGCCGCCAGCATTCCCCATCAGACCAGAAGCCCATGAGGACAGGAGCCTTGGGGGGCTCTGATGTAGGCCCCTCCTTTTAGCTATGAGGAGCTCGAGGGCAGGAGAGGTGCCTCCCCCAAAGTCACAGCACTGTGTGCTCGGTGGCCTGCATCTTGCCCACTCCATACACATCAGAGCCGGTGAGTATGGGGTTTGTGTTCTCAGAAGCAAAGGAGCATTAGGGAGCATCTCAAGGTCATAGACCCTGCAGTTGGATCCATGATGATACAGAGAGAAGACCTCTGACCTCAGTTCCTGGGAAAGACCAGCAGATGGATGACTACTTCGTTCAACACAGAACGAAGGAAGTCTCTGAGACGGGGCATTGTCTAGGGAAGCCGGGGGGG